ATCCGGCCCGATATGAAATATCCAATTTTTGCCTTCAACTAATGAAAAATCGCTGTCCTAGTTTGTTGAAGGGAATTTCCTGGGATGATGGATGCGCATTTCCTGAGCTACCTCTTTCTAGCTGATTTCTACTACCTTCACTACTTACCACGTGGTCAACAGCATCATTTTTCTTGGCCACCACTATCATTTTTACTTAGTCAAAATCAAACCCTATTGCATATCGTGCCTTTCGAAGGTTTACGTTTTAGCGGATTTGTTATTGCTGCTCCATTCGACGACGATCCATCCTGAGGCTAAACGAACAAAAATATGGAGATTTCACAATATCCGGTCAGTAAAACGTCCAGTGAAGTTTCCGAAAAAAAAAACCATTTCCTATTCTAGAGAATGCGTCGCCACACAATCATTTGTAGAGCACCTTTGGCACGGCTCATCAGTGCAGTAATCAATGGCAACGTGCACGGGGCGGGCCCGTGCGATCGTGCGTTTTTGCAGTGTTTAGTGCTGTAATGAGACTGCTCGGTGATCCAGTAGCCAGAAATGTGTAACATACTGATCCTCGGATTTCAGGAAGTTAATTGTCTATGCTGTACTTGAACAGGGAACATTCTCCACAAATTTCAGCCTCTCTGCTTTTCCGGTTCCCAGATTAGTCATTTTCCAGCCAAAAATTTCCATGGGGCCTTACATGGGAACAACGCACACCGAGGCGCTGAATTCGATAGCTTTAAGTTGTACATCTGCTGGGAGCATTCCTTGAAAATTTCAGTCTCCTAGTTTTCCAGGCTTCCGAGCTAGCCATTTTCCCGCCAAAAAATTTCACGGGGTAGTACGTAAGAACCACACAATTTCAGCTTCCTAGCTTTTCTGGTTCCCGAGTTAGCGGTTTTCCCACCAAAACTTTCATCCCCTCGCACGCGGGGCCCAGACTTGCGTGAGGGTTGGTATCGCGGTCCTGGGGTGGCACTTGGCCAAGGAATTCATCGGCAAAATTTTGGCGCTGGAGCTTGCTTGGGTGCCGAGCTGAAATATCCGGAGAGACAGACAGATAGACACACACACACCGGCGTTGCCACAATATGCGTTTTCGCATTTGCAAGTGTGCAAAAACGCATAAAAACGAAGAAACAAGACCGAATGGTCTCACAAAGATTAACAAACTTCTGGAATCGTTTCAAAATGTTGCTGTGGACTTCCCTTTAAAGTCATAAGACATTTCTCATACAAAGTGGATATTTTTCTGGATGGTGAAAGCAAACAGATTTAGTTTTTTTATCTGATAATGATCATGATTCAACTGCAACCCTGCAATCCCATATTATCGCAAGCGCTGCTGTCACCTAATGAAATATATTAGCAATGCCACTAAAATGTAAATTACCTGAAGTTTCAGTCTCTTTTCGGACGGAGCACTTTCCTGACTAAATTCAGACACATTTAATGTTTCCATTGTCTTTGCACATGTTTCGCTATTTCGGTCTTCGTTCGACAGAATTCCCGAGCACACTGACTCCTGAGTCGTAAATGTTTCGCCACTTCGGTTATGAGAAATTTTCAAACTACTTGGTGCCTCATCTGCAAAACGAGTGTTACTAAATGGGTGGTAATGACACGAGAAACCTTATAAAATGCGTCCACATTGTGATTCGAATGTGCTGTTGTTTTTTTTTTTTTTTTTTTTAAACTTTTTTTCCCTATTCACTCTGGATGAGAAGTAAAGGCATCCAGAAAAATTTTTTTCACCGATTTGCAATCTAAACTCTGTTGACGAATAACTGGACATCACTCCTAACACCTGTCTAAACACTGAAAAGAAAACCCATCGAAATCAAGCGCAGCAAATTGGGGGTTCAATATGATCAAACAGAAGCTCGGAGGAGTTCGACAACTACACAGTGAATGAGAAGAGATTACGAAAATGAAATGAGAAAGCAAAGAAGAGAAAAAAAAGTGCGGGAGGAAAAGAGGAAAGTGAAGGAGCACGAAAAAGTGCAGCAATAATAGCGGAAAGTTTTCTAGAAAATTAAAGTAGA